TACCTAAAGGTATATTAGCCCTGATTTCATAGTATACTCAGATTAATTCCCAGTTATTGGGTAACAATAAACACAACAATCTGTGTACCTTAAGCTTCAGGTGGGGATTTGTTTGATTCAGTTGATTCAGTTATTGTTTGCTGCCCCCTGGTGCAAAGCCTGAGCAACTTACTCTCCTCTCTTAGAGCTCTTAGCCTCATGTAGGCCTAATGCAGTTGCAGAAGATTCAGACTAAACTGTGACTGTATATTTATTCATATGAAAATTAAAAAGAAAAGGTGAACTTGTGGGTCATTATCAGATGATCAGTTAAAAAAAAATGTTAAAAAGGAGACCTTTAAGCAGTTACACTAAGGTCCCAGCACAACGTGGAACTGTTGGCGCACTGACTCGCTGAATGGGGTTTGAACAGGTGGTTTAATACACATATATCTGTACAGGCGATCAGGCTTAGATGCCCTCCTGCAGTGCAAAAGATCTGCCCCGGCCTCGGACCATAAAAGCCGCAAAGTCCGTGTCAAAACTATCCTCAACAAGTCATTTTATGAATCAATCATAGCCTTCATTCCCAAGTGCTGTGAAGTGTTTCCGTGGTTAGGTACCGTTCTCCTCAATACGTAATGCAACAATGATTCATACTGTATATAATGTTCTTTTTTTTGTCCATTCACTGATTTCTTATACACCATTGTAAGTGCACAGGAATATAAGCAATGTCTGCATGCCCAGATTTGAAAGGAAAAGAGGATGAGTACTTATTGGGGCTCTATCCTGAAAGAAGAAGTTCACAGATCGCTCTGTATGCAAAACAGAAAGAAATGCAAGGACTGGAGGAAGATCATGTCATCATCTTTGTTTTAAAAATCTATTTTATCCTTCTGCACTGTAGTGGTTCTTTAATTAACATAAAGAAAAATCTATTAAATTCTCTTTTTTTTTTTTTTTTTTTTTACAACACAGAGAGATTGGTCAGAAAAATTCTGCACAGATTGATTAATTCAGTTTGTCTCCTTCGTGCTTGTGAGACCAGGTTGAATACCCTCTATATCTTTTTCTCTGTTTCTCTGTCCCAACCAGGTAAAGTGGAGAATTGGCTTCAGGTGATTTGGAGAAGATCTTATCTTCTGTTAACAGAGGAATGACACCATAATGGAGCAGCAGGGGTGCAATTACCTTTTAGCCCTCCTCCTCCTCCTCCTCCTTCTCTCCTTCCCTCCACCTTCACCTCAGCCTTCACTGACAAATTAAGATTAATGACAGAGATAAATAAGGAACCTGCCCACCTTCCAATATCACATGGTTGGATTGAGTGTGAGAGCAAAGAGAAGAGGTGGAGCTCTTGTTATTCTCTTGTAATATTAGTTCTGTTCTTCCCAGCCTTTTATCAAAGTGAAATTTGAATTTCAAATCTAAATTCTAAGTCAAATACAGGGCAGCCCTCTCTGACTTGGCAAATGAATAAAATAGTAAGCATATAGAGAAGCAAATGCAATATTTAAAGATGTAATGAACCATCAACAATAGACGTAAGTTTGTACTTTTTTCCTGCGTTTAAGTTTGAAAAATTATTTGTGAATGGTGTGAAATCCCACTAAAAAGCCACTAAAGACCACAGACAGTATAGAGAAGGTCTAAAATATATACAACCATTAACGATAGTAGACAATAGGCAGTATAAGAAAGTTTGATGAGAGTGACGTGTAAAATGTGTAATATACTGCTATCAGCACAGCTGCTGTGAACGTGAGGCGTCAAGGCAGATCAGTGGCCTCGTGGCATAAACTTCCATCACATATTAGTATCATCTCAAAGATCTACAACCACGGACACACACGTCATGAGACTCACACCTATTTACAGCAGGCTGCGGAGGTAGAAGGTCGCATTCAGCCCAGATACATGATAAGGACAAAAAAACGAAAAGACTTTGCGGACGTGTATTTTATTCTTGTATATTTTTTACTAGTAATAATGATCCATGAATTCATAGGTAAAAAAAAAACTTTTAGGTGTTTGGTGTTTGTGAAAGTGTTTTAAAACAAATCTTGTGACCCTCTCCCCAAACCTACTATATATGCACCACCCATACCTCTCAGTTTTCAATGTGAAAAGAGCTCCTGAAGGTGGAAGGAGACCAGGAGCCCCCCCCCCCCCCCCCCCCCCCCCCCCCGCCCCCCCCCCCCACCCTCGATGCGCCAACCAGAGTGGACTCTACACGGCTGAATGTGTGCACCCCCTGCCCTGCAGCTGGAGGTGTCTGTTTCACAGGCCTCTGTAATGCGGGCCCAGGGAGGATAAGGTTTCACAGGTACAAAAGTTTCCGCTTTAATCCTATCACACAGAGTGAGTGGTCAGGGCTCAAGGCCTCTGCATAATCCTGAGTTTATTCAGTCTGCTGAGCCAAGAGACAGGGAGTATGTAGAGAGGAAGAGATTACTGCCCATCTCTGATTTGATTCAATCAATGTTTGCACAGCAAACGGCGAGGAGGGGGGTCTCGCAATAGCAATTCAGCTTTTCCACACCTCAGCGCACACGGGAGAAGATGAGTAAAAGATACAGTGAAATGTCTCCTCTGGCAGCTGTTAAACAGGTTGATGTTCAGGGATACTACAGCCATTTAAAATGCCTTTATTCCCTGTGGGTATTTGTCATCATGGCAAAAGTAAAAAATACATAGTGTGTTTATGTGCCAGCTGACTGGAAGTAATAATTTTAGAAATCAAATCAAGGTAAGTTTTAATATTTTGTCTTTTAGTTTAGTGAGTGGCTGCAGTCTCAGAGGTAAGGCAGGGCCGGAGGGTGAAAAATTGAAATAAGAGGGTATGTACTGGCTGATAGATCAATGCTGTTTTGTAAAGAGCTTATCAATGTCACAGCAGGTTTGTGCTGAAACAGGCTTTGACGCGGCCTCCTCTGGAGAATACAACCGGCCCCGGCTTCACACTGGGTCCTGGTCACCGCTGCAGGGTTACACTACGCTGCATCATCCTGCATCCTGAATGTTATGGCAAGAGTGTGGTGGAAGGTAAGACAATGAATGTTAAAATTAAAATTCAGTGTCCTTAGACTATTGGTCTAATAAATAAGACTTTATTCTGACTGTCTTCACATGAAACTTTTATACTTCAGAAGGCATGGTGTATTTTCTGCTCCACTAACAGAATTTCTGTCGGGCCTAAGATGCTTTTGAGTCATTGTAGAAAGCGTGCATTCTGAGAAATTTAATACATATTCACGCTGACGACCACAAAGCAGATTGCTGCATCCCTCCACAGGTCCCTTGAAGTGCAGAACTTGAAGAAAGAGTGGTTCTTTTGAAGGCAAGTAGAAGGCGTTGCGGGGCTGAGAGGTGCTGGAAAGGGCATGTCCAAACAGACTTTAGGCCCTGAGTGATGGGACACGGGAAACAGTAACAGGACACCTCGCCCCTGCTCTCATGTCAACACAGTCATGTGAATCACAACTGTGAGAGCGTCTGAAGATCCAGGAGACAATAGACATCGACTCTCAGTAAGATCTTTCTCAGTTTCTACAGAATCACCAGCTTTGTTTGGATCACTGTATTTGTCAGTATTACCTTTTTTTTTTTTTTTTTTTTACTTGAAATCCTTTCAAATGGAATAAACAGATCTGTAATAAATCTTTATCTCTCATCAAGGCTTTTCCAAGTTGATCCCACATGGAAGTGGATACAGTTAAGATGCAATGCATCACTGAAGTTTAAAGGGCTCAACTTAAGCACTGCTTCTGTCATGAGCCATGAAATGATGAAGGTGAAGTAATCCATGCAGCCTTTGTCAGTGATTCAGGAGGAACAGTTGCCAAGTGGGACAGTGAGTGGAAAGATTGTAGAGTAGATCAACTCATTTGAAAAAAAAAGATAGAATGCGCATGAAAAGTAGTTAACCGTAAGCAAGCGGAGAGGTTAGCTTAAAAAACTGTTGAGTAGACAGCTAAAAGTAAGAAGTTGGAACAATTAGCTAAAAGTAGTGCTTTAAATTTGAAATAGCTAAAAGAAACGGGTAAACTGTTGAAATAGTTAACTAATGCTAGTGGTAAAGGCTTGGGTAAACTTTTGAAATAGTTAAACATTTAGCTAAAAATTAATGAACAAATCGTTGAAATAGAAAGCTAAAAATATGGATGAACACCTGAAATGCAAAGTTGACCAAACCTAAACACTGTCTGCTCAACTGTATAAAGAGTTTTCTGTAAGAATCCGCTTTTATATAATTAATGGTGTAAAAAAAAACGTGTAATTTGAAATCAACTCATATTTTGAACATGGTGGGTGGTGTTACAGTTACTGTGGGGGAATATCTGACAAAAATGGTTGGGGACCATGTCTATTCTAAAGCTTGAGTTTTCCATTCGAGAGAACATCTGTGAGAATCCAGATGTGTGTGATATTTGATCCTGTGTCATTGATCCTTCCTGGAGATATTAAAAGAAATGACAGCTGTATTTACTTCATAGTTTGTTTTTCTCTGGTCAGAAATATCCCATGACTAAAAAAAGGAAAAACACCAATAATAACAATATAACATAAAATAATCTATAATGACTGATGAGAGACTGACTGAAAAGAAGCAAATCATTTTCTCTTTTACTCCTGCTTCAGTGTAGTTGTTGACTTGACATTTGTTTTGGGACGTCTCTTTGCATTTACATCCTGTCAGAGATAGAGGGCAGCAGACATCAATGAATTCCCACTGCCACTTTTCTCCACTTCTCTCATCTTTTATTCAAATTTAACCTTTATGGCATTTACCTTGATTTAAAACTACATATGTTTTGTACTTTAAAAATAAAAGAAAGTTAAATCTGGAACATTGAAAGACAAAAATACAGATAAAAGTTGGCCATAAATCCATCATTTAAAATAAAAAGGAGAACCAACCTCATCTCATTTGTTTATTTACATTTACTCATTTTACACATAACAAAGAAAAATGTAATTAGATTCATATTTAGCTGTTGATTTGTAAGACGTGGATGTTTTGAAGATTTAAAGGTGCATTTGACTTTCATTCCAATATGAAAAATAATCTTAAAAAAAAACCCAACAAACATTAAAATGTTCAGACACAAAATAAATAGATTTTTCAAAGTAATTTCAAACTATAAAAGATATAAACCTAATTTGATTTATATATTAATAAATTCGGATTAAAAAGCTGAAATGATAAAACTGTTGCTCATACTATGAGGACATTAACACGTGATATTTGGACACTGATAATCTAATCCTACTCTTTGTACATTAAAGAAGCTGTACATCCATATTTTACTGTACTTACCTACAATCTCTGTAATTTCCCATGACAGTGAGTTACAGTCCTTAAAGTCTTGATGAGCAATTTATCAATGTCACTGAAAACTGAAGACGCCGTTGCCATTAATACATCATTATCTCCTTTGGTGCGTCCTCGGTAGGCCTCTCCTGTTCCCTCCTGTGTTTGTAGGCTGCATGGTCGTACATGTATATCACGGCAATGGCAAAGAGAGAGAGCGCTGTGTAAGGGATGATCAGGTAGTATCCCAGCAGCATCTCTGTGGACTTGTTCTGCAGGTCTACGGGCACAGCTTCAGAGAAGTTCTTCACCAAATCCTCCCCCATGCTGGTCACGTTGATGTTCACCGCAAATATGATGAGGACCACACCTGACAGGCATGCTGCAGGGAGAAAAAAAAAAAAAAAAAAAAAGGTTAGTACTGTCACAAATTGTAACACAAACTCCATTTAAATGTGATTTCGTGCTTTATTTCTTTCTGACGATTCCACCTCTCCCAGTTTCTCCCGGATGCTTTGTGCCGCAACATATGTGTCACTTACCGCTGACCGAGCTGCAGGCGTAGACTCCAGCAGGACCCATGTAGGTCTCATAAGGGTTACTGACGCTGTTGTAGAGGGAGATAAGGATGCTGCAAACAGAGAACAGCAGACACAGGGCCAACAGGCACACCACCAAAGCGTACAGGACTACCGGGGTGACTCCTGTTTCTGTCAATTTAGGAATCACTACACACACACACACACACACACACACACACNTTGTTGATGTTAACTGTCTTCTTTGTTTCCAGGTCAAATGGCGCCAATTCAGTTCAACCATGTGCTGTGTCAGTAGGTTAACTGTGTGTCCCTACGTGTTGCACCCACTGATATCTATCACAGCTGCCAATCAGGGCCACATTAATCAACAACAGTGTCAAGCGGCATGGGGCAGAGAAAGTGCTCAGCCTTCCTTCCATCCATCACTCCGGCTGTAAACCGTCATCCGACATCTGACGTCCTTTTTTTTTTTTTTTTTTTTTTTTTTTTACAACACAGAGAGATTGGTCAGAAAAATTCTGCACAGATTGATTAATTCAGTTTGTCTCCTTCGTGCTTGTGAGACCAGGTTGAATACCCTCTATATCTTTTTCTCTGTTTCTCTGTCCCAACCAGGTAAAGTGGAGAATTGGCTTCAGGTGATTTGGAGAAGATCTTATCTTCTGTTAACAGAGGAATGACACCATAATGGAGCAGCAGGGGTGCAATTACCTTTTAGCCCTCCTCCTCCTCCTCCTCCTTCTCTCCTTCCCTCCACCTTCACCTCAGCCTTCACTGACAAATTAAGATTAATGACAGAGATAAATAAGGAACCTGCCCACCTTCCAATATCACATGGTTGGATTGAGTGTGAGAGCAAAGAGAAGAGGTGGAGCTCTTGTTATTCTCTTGTAATATTAGTTCTGTTCTTCCCAGCCTTTTATCAAAGTGAAATTTGAATTTCAAATCTAAATTCTAAGTCAAATACAGGGCAGCCCTCTCTGACTTGGCAAATGAATAAAATAGTAAGCATATAGAGAAGCAAATGCAATATTTAAAGATGTAATGAACCATCAACAATAGACGTAAGTTTGTACTTTTTTCCTGCGTTTAAGTTTGAAAAATTATTTGTGAATGGTGTGAAATCCCACTAAAAAGCCACTAAAGACCACAGACAGTATAGAGAAGGTCTAAAATATATACAACCATTAACGATAGTAGACAATAGGCAGTATAAGAAAGTTTGATGAGAGTGACGTGTAAAATGTGTAATATACTGCTATCAGCACAGCTGCTGTGAACGTGAGGCGTCAAGGCAGATCAGTGGCAGTGCCATAAATTCCATCATTAGATCATTCAAAGATACAACACGGACACACACGTCATGAGACTCACACCTATTTTACAGCAGCTGCGGAGGTAGAAGGTCGTTCAGCCAGATAATGATAAGGACAAAAAACGAAAAGACTTTGGGACGTGTATTTTATTTTTTATATTTTTTACTAGTAATAATGCATCCATGAATTCATAGGTAAAAAAAAAAACTTTTTAGGTGTTTGGTGTTTGTGAAAGTGTTAAAACAAATCTTGTAGACCCCCTCCCCAACACCTACATATATGCACCCACCCATACCTCTCAGTTGTCAATGTGAAAAGAGCTCCTGAAGGTGGAAGGAGACCAGGAGCCCC